AACAAAAATAAATAATCATAATATTATACATCACAATAACAAAAGTCTTATAACTTTTTAGCACAAATACGTGGTACCAATATCAGAAAATAATTATTTAACAATATCTCATTATTTTTATATTTTTCCACGTATTAATTAGAAATATAATATTTTCTTCTTGTTCTTTACGAGGYTTGTTAATGTTTTGTTGTTTTAAATAAGTTTCGCTTTGAATATCTAAAATAATTTGGTATAACTTGGTGAATATCGGTGCACACGAATTGCGTACCAAAACAGGTAGACAAACCTTTTTGAACGAATTGCGTCCCGGACGCAATTCGTGTTAACTTTTCATCACTTAACATTTTTTGAGGTTTACTCCAGTGGTTTTCAAATTTATTTTTAATTTTGATATTTTTAAATTTTTAACAAAATAATAATAATTAAATATTTATCATTAATATAACATTATTATATGAAAACTTATTTTTGGTGGTTTGTACTTTTAGGCCGGAGCTATACACGGCGTATTAGCCGCGTTTCGAACGCAGCGTATTTCGCGGGATTTTCTATCGAATTAAAAATAAACCAAAGCATTTTTAGTTCGATGGACAAGCGACGGTATACTGCAAGTCATAATTTTGGAGTTTGGGAAAAAATATGTCTAACAATATTGTGAGCACTTTTTTTCGAAATCAAATGAAAATTTTAATGCTCTTATGAACTGTGTATATCTATGTCAACCAATTTTAAATATAAATTAATGGTACACCATCACTTCATCGTGGCTATTTCATCGCGATCCTATTCGTTTTGCATCACTTCATCGCTGACTGCTCATCGCTTTACCTCCGCACACCTTCGCCAAAATTGTATCGTGTAACAGCTCATCGAATACATTTCATCCTATGGCATATCATTGTGCATGACACATCAACGCAATTCTCTGGATGTTAGGTACATTTTCTGGAGCTCAAGTCGATCGCGTGCTGCACTTGGGTAGTMCATATTTTGAATCTTTTTTGAATGCCCTTTCGATTAAAAATGATTTGAAAAACATATTTTTTGGTGATCATACCGAAAAAGCCTTCCAAAATACACCGTGCAGCCGATTCGTCCGTAAACTCATAAATATCATATAGTTTACATCGTATTATTTTTCTGGTGCCCAAGTCCACTTCGTGCCGCACTCAAAATATACAATTTTCGTATCTACATTTGTCCCCCTTTCGATTTAAAATGGTTTGGAAAACATATTTTTTGGTGTTCAGGTCGAATAAGCCATCCAAAGTACACCGCGCAGCCGATTCGTCCCAAAAATAAAAATAATAAATATAGTTTATATCGTATTATTTTTCTGAAGCTCAAGTCCACCACGTGCCGCACTTGGGTAGAACATATTTTGAATCTTTTTTGAATGCCCTTTCAAATAAAAATGGTTTTGAAAATTATTTTTGGTGATCATACCGAAAAAGCCTTCCAAAATACACCACGCAGCCGATTCGTCCGTAAACTCATAAATATCATATAGTTTATATCGAATTATTTTTCTTTTGCCCAAGTCCACTTCGTGCCACACTCAAAATATACAATTTTTGAATCTAAATTTGTTGCCCTTTCGAATAAAAATGGTTTGGAAAACATAATTTTTGGTGTTCATTTTGAAAAAACGTTCTAAATTCACCGTGCACTAGCCCGACCGGTAATACCGTAAAATTTCATATTCTTTATATCATATTATGTTGTTAGTGCTCAATTCCACTTCATGCCACACATGGGTAGTAAATATTTTTTAGCTCCATTATATGCCCTTTCGATTAAAAATATTTTGGAGAATATAAATATAGGTGTCAGCCTCATAAGCGTGCGTAGGTATTCTTGGCAGGGGAGGCAATACTTTAGCTAAGGAGGTCCAGACTCCAATCCCCCCACCCGATTTTCACCAATTGGTAGATATAATATAATATTTTGGTGTAGAGGAAAATCTCGYAGGRGARKCAACCGCCTCCCCTGCCTCCCCCGTGCGCACGCTTATGGTCAGCCTCATATATAGGTACACTGCTCACCATTTTCTCGCTGATATCACATAATATTATGAAACCTACTCATATTATTTGAAGTGTTCAATTAGAAGGGTTCTAATTTCTAATATAACTATGGAGCGTTATCGCCTATTTTTATTGACCGTAGTTCATTGATATAATTAACAAGTAATTATATATATAATATATTTATTATAAACTTATGCTGGCAATATAGCCTAATCCAGTGGTATTTCAAATTATTTGTTTTTGCGTAGTTCCAATGRACATTTCTAATGTAATTTTTTAAGGTTCACCATTATAATTTTTATTGAATTACTATCTATGTTAGAACTTTATGTTTCTTCAGACTATGGAGGTATACTAAAAATTTGATCTTCATATCTTTTTAGGGTCGTATAATTTTATTAGAATGATCTAGATGTTTTTAATAATTTATGAGCATAATGCGAGGTCTTTAACATATTAAATAGAATCAAGTTTATTGTTCTTTTTATTATAACTAAGTTTTATTGGGTTCTGTATTTAATCGAATGACACTTAAATATCTTTACTCTTTCTACACCCCCGTTTAACCAAAATGCCATGTTAATTTTGTAGAATATCATACAATTGTTGATGGGTTGTTGCCGAATTGTATAAACTTTGCCTTCTTAGCTTAATATTATCAACTGTTTCTAATTCATCCGCTGAAGATTTAGATACATTTTTTAATAATTATATATAGGGAATAATATTTTACTTTTGTTATATCATTTTTAAATATCATATTTTTACAATGGTTTAATCGCTTCGTTTTTATAGCACACTATTGATACTAAAATGTATTACCTACCTATTAACATTATACCTCTTGTAATGATATTGCCTTTTTAGTTTTTATGCATGCATTATAACGCTATAATGGTTATATTTCTCAAAAATAAAAAATAGTTAAGAGTAAATCCAACATTGGTTTGTATAATAATAGGTGATGTTTTGTAAACTTGTATTTTTTTATAGCTAGTATAATGTAGTTAATTTTTTATGTTACCATATTGTTACTAGTTCAAAATATTTAAATACTTTAAAATGTTTCATTATGTTATATTTTATAATTATGATTAATTGATAACTATTAATTAATTATATAAATGAAAACTATTTTTTAAATTAGGTAGGTACATAATGTGCATTATAGATTTTATTGCTTTAATGTAATAATAATAATCATTCGTCCATCGACCACCTTGAATTCTGAATTCTATATGAAAAATAAATATTTTTATTATAACCCCTTGTAAGACATGAATAGGCAATAGAGTATGCCGGAATGCGGTTACCTACCTTATCAGAGTTGATAAGCGCTCGACGTCCGGGAGCAGGCTAACTTCACAGACATGTTGGTTTGCCTTTTACAGTTAGTACTTGGCAGTAAAAATCGTTGTCATAGACCTATAAATAAAATAATATGTCTATGATCGTTGTGTTCTTCAGCGGATTAAGTATTAGAGATAACTAGATATATTAGAGTCTAATGATGACTARACACACTACTCAATAACTTGGAAATCTGACCATTTTGTGATTGTTAGGTAAATAAAATTACCGAAAATTAAATGACAAGCTTATGATTATTATAGTTAATAGCTATTACCTAGTTTGTTTTGATACAAACAATTATTAAGAATAAATTATTGATTACCTATCTCTAGTTCTTAATGCAGTTAATCACCTACTTGAAAGATACTAGCACGTAATTGCTTAGCTAATCGTTATTGCTGTTAATTGTGAGAAGAATCATTAGAGATTGCCACAGTTGTCAAATGTTAATCAAACGATTATATTCGATTTTTAAAAATACATTTTCTGACATGGATAATCTTATTGCTGTTTGTCAAATTACATCAACTGCGAATAAAGAAAAAAACTTTCAAGCGTGCAAGGCACTAATTACTAATGCCCATAAATGTGGAGCTAAAGTAAGTATGRATAGTTTGATACCATGYTAGATAGTTATCTGATTATTGTTATTAATTTRTTATTCCCAGATGATTTTTTTGCCAGAGTCATTTGATTACATTGAAGAAAATAAAGCTAAATCATTAGAGATGGCCGAATCTTTAGATGGATCTCTTATCAATAATTATAAATCATTAGCCAAGTCATTAGATATTTGGCTGTCTTTAGGTGGATTTCATGAAAAGGTACTAATAACTTAATTTTTTAAATTGTAATTTTTTTTATTAGTATACTAAAAGTAGAAATTTATTTTTAATGCAATTAATAATATGTTAAAGTATATATAAAATACTGACAACTATGTTCATTAATAAAATTGTTATACTTAGTTGATTTATTTTTAGTTAAATTTAAAGAATAAAAATTTAAAAAACAGCAATAAGTCTACACTACTTTTGTAGAATCTTAAAATGTTATGCTTATTTCAGACACATCTCACATCTTAATATAATACAAATAAATGTGTTTTTGTAGGATTTAGACCTAATTAATCAACAAAATATGAGAATTTATTTATACACAGTTAATATTAAATATATATGACCATAACACAGCTCTATTTAATATATATTCACTGTTGAACTGTGCAATGAAATCATATTTCATGACTAAAAATTTTAATTTTTTTATTGTTTTTATTGTGTTGCTTTATAACATTAGGAAAATATACAAAGTTTTACTTATTTATCTTTTTAGCTTTATGTTCATTAATTCAACTTATTAGATATAGTTTTAGAGCCTACACATAATGTTATTAGTGCTTGATTGGAGCGTATCTCTTCTATTTTTTTAAAAAGGAACTCTGGGAACTCAATATTTACTAGTGAATTAGTAAACTGTCTTTCTGATGAAAAMTATAATAKAATTACAATTTTTATTGCCTAATATTTATTATAATATTACTTATTTATTATACCTAACCTAACCTAACCTTAGTCATGAAAAAAAAATTAACGTTGAAATTCCTAATATAACTATAAAATATGGTGATTATAAATTTTATCATGCTTAATAGTTCATATACTATCATTTATAGACCTTATTCAATGCATAGTTTATTAATAAACGACTAATTTTATAGTAAAAATAATAAAAAGTGTTAATTCTTTTTTTATGTATATTTATATTAGTTGAACAAATTTTATAATGTTTTGGTGTGATTGTTGCTGGAGGAGGTTTGGGGACAAAGCCTTTACGGTAATGTTACAGTTAATTTTGTGTGGATTGCTTTCTCATCCAATATCCATTTAGTCCTCCTAATTTTTTTCCAAACACAGAATTTATTCTTGGGCATCACTAACAATTATAGGTATGATAATTTAAATCAAAAATYTCATCAACTGTCATAACCATAATCAGAGGCGGTTTGAGTATACTGGTTTTGGTGCACTGCACCGCCAATGTTAGGGGGGTGGGTGGTCTTGGTTGAGCATGTGCTGACCGCAATGTTTAATTTTAATGTTCAATAAATGAAAAAAGTAATAAAGTACCTAATCAATGACATATGATAATCGTGGCTGAAACTATTGAAAGCGTCTAGTTAAGAATATAAGGGCCTTATAATTGTTAACTATAAACTTATTAAAAAATATTTATTTGTAATTTCTATTATGATGGTGGTGG